TCAATTTTTCCTTTAAGCTCAGATGATATACTATCCCTGATAGTCTCAAGGCAAAACGATTAGGTATAAGCTAGCATTCATTCAATAGACATTTCCAAAAATAAAAGGATCAAGACAGGTGCTGTTGAATAGGAGACTCGATTAATGTAAATTTCTTCAGATTACTATTGACATTATTGGAGGATTGATGATATCTCTAATTACTATTTAACGACATCTTTAATCTTACTTAATATCACTTAACATCTTCATTTACCAAATCTGGCCGAACAGCTTCTTTATAACGTATTTCTGTACTCGTACATAATACCATGTTCAATGTCAAGGCGTTTCTGTTTTTTTTTATGGACAGTTTAAAGTGAGTTAGGTCCAATCGTATAACTTCATCAAGAAAATGATAAAAATAATCAATAGCTAATATTGATATATGAATATTATTTCTTTCCAAAGATATAAACCGTAGGTAAAATGCTAATTTTAATGGTTATCATTATCAATTGTAAAATTAAGAATAATAACTTATCAATATCAATGGGAAAAATCTGAATGATAAACTATCAATGGTAAAAATCTGAATGGTAAATTTTCAATGGTAAAAATCTGAATGATAAATTTATCAATAGTAAAAATCTGAAATGCAAACTATCAATGGTAAAAATCTGAATGGTAAACTATCAATGGTAAAAATCTGAATGATAAACTATCAAAATGGTAAAAATCTGAATGATAAACTATCAATGGTAAAAATCTGAATGATAAACTATCAATAGTAAAAATCTGAATGGTAAACTATAAATGGTAAAAATCTGAATGATAAACTATCAGTGGTAAAAATCTGAATGATAAATTTATCAATGGTAGAATATTTGAATAGTGAGCTATCTGATATATAAACTACCAAAATCTGAAAGATAAATTACCAGCACTGAACGATGAACTCTCAATTCTAAAAATGTGAATAATTGCAGAATTCTGAATGATAAACTATCAACATCTGAATGATAAATCTATTTAACAATCTATCAAAATCTAAATAATGAACTTGCAATCTAAACGATGAATTATCAATGCTGAAAATCTGAATGATGAACTATCAAAATATGAATGACTAATCATTATCAAAATCTAAATGATAAACTATCAAAAACTGAATAATGAACTAGCGATTGAAAAATATGAATGATGGCCGAAATCTTAATGATAAACTATCAAAAAAGGTAAAGATTTGAATGATAAACCATCTAAATGTGAATGATAAACCATCAAAATGTGAATGATAAACTATCAAAATCTGAATGATAAACTATCAAAATGGTAAAAATCTGAATGATAAACTATCAAAATCTGAGTGATAAACTATCAAAATCTGAATGATAAACTAGCAAATCAAAATCCGAATGATGAACTATCAAAATCCGAATGATGAAAAACCAATGGTAAAAATCTGAATGATAAACTATCAATGATAAATCAGGATACTAAACAATCTATCATAAAACATAGATAATTGATTAGCACGATATTTTATACAACTGGTGCTGCGGCTTTGTATTACCTTGTCTGTCAAACTATTGTTTTAATGTATACTTCCTTGATAGCTGATCTTGTTGATACCGGATGAAAACAATGGCTGAGTGGGTTGACGAGGGAGGGCTGAAATGATGTTGAACTATTAGTTCGCTAGCCAAATATCAATTATTCATTGCATCGAGATCCGTCTCAAATGACATCCAGATATTTTATGTGTTCTCACCGATGGCATAATACTTAAGAATCAAACAGTGAGAACAGTGGGTTTTCGTAATAATATCAACTAGTGACCACTTATCCCTCGGTGCACAGAAAGATTAACTCTTTCAAGGTAAGAAACTATTCTGACTTTTCTTCCAAACATAAAGTAATTGATACGTTATTTCGTATGATTTTATTTCGGTTGCACAGAAAAACAACTTTATTTCCATGACTGAGAATACCAGCATCAGAAAGTGGCATATTTTTTTTTATATGACTTGACATTTTGAAATTGACATCTGTGAAGTCATTTTCAAATTGTCGTGTACTTCCTGTTGAGCCCATCTTATGCTGCCTAGAAGTGTTTCGGATAATAAAAATTCTAATTAGGACAGCTTTGTATCGCTCTTGATTCATCATTGCAGCATTCTTGTTAAGAAAGGCTATATAATTCCTATACAAGTATAAACAAAACCGTTTTGGAAAGTACCTTCGGATAATGACTATCTGTACTGTTTTTGATATTCTCTAAAATTCGATTAACCGACGACAATATAAAATCATTCCCTATAACAATATACATGTATTTCAGATGACGAAAATAAGCGAATTGTGTTTATTGATGTTTTTCTTAAATCTGTATATATATTGTTGTTTATCATTTAAACTGGATTTTAAACAACTTTTAACGTAAGTACCTATATAATATTATTATGTTTAACTTGACCGCATTCTTTTATTTCCCCTAGCGTCATACATTGGGTACTAGTACCCCCTAGGGATACCCACAAGCACTCCAAGAGATACCCTAGTATCTTCTGCGATAATCTTTGAAGTTTTCTTTTGATCAGCAATAGCAACACTAAAATTTTGTATAAAATGTGCCAATTATCTTTTGCACGGCCTTTGATTATCGTAATTTGTTCACTGTAAATTTTTCGCTGAACCCTTTGATTTTGCTGGTGTACATAAGGGTACCGGGTTGTATCGATCTGTTTCTGATACTGTTACTGGGGAGTGGCCCCGCCCAAAAAAAGCTCTCCCGGGTTTGCCCCCTTCCCCCTTTCAATTTTTTCATTTTACATAGTGGAAGAATGGCTTGTGGCCCCTGTGTTTTATAGAAACGCCACTGTTACTGCTATCTCAGCGCACCAACGACTGAAATAAAAACACAGTTAAAGCACTCAAATTAGATCTGGTCGACAACTGGAGTGGTCAGAATCTGCGACCTTGCAATTGATCATATTTTGCTCTATTTCGGTCTATTAGAGTTTCCTTTCCTTCGGCGAATCCCATGAGATCATTTAAAACGAGATGAGCCCACCTTCAGGTCTTTTGTTTGTAGTTTCTGATATAATACAGATTAATCTGTATAGAACTATTTAGGTGGGCGAAGAATATCTGACCGAAATTTTCTTCCCGTTGTCGGGAATCTTACAGCCTTCGGTTCTGTTTTGATATTTCTTAATTCCTTTAGAAGTTCGTTTTAATTTTATTTAACCTTTTTTTGCAGGAATCCGGTAGTTGAAAAAAGAAGTAATATGGACTTGGTGTTTATTCAGATGTATGAACTGTGTGATCAGGATAATAATGGAATGTTTACACCTAACGAATATGATTGTCTTGATGGTGCTATACATATTTTCTTTGGACGAAAATAATGCGGGGGATATTGCATTTGAGTAATGTCTACCGGGACTAAGAAAACTAACACTAAGCTGCATTGCTATTTCGATGTAGAATGTAATTTTAATGTGTAGCCTTTATGTCGTTTTCACAGCCTTTTCTTTGTGGATGTAAAGCCATAAGCCGAAATAGGACACTGCGTTTATAAAAAACCAAATGATCTCTTCTTCAGAAAAAGTCTTAATGAATGTGGCGTCTTAAGATTTTTAAATATATAAATTCACTGCTCAACATTTTGAAAAAGATAAAAGTTATACAATTTGTAGTAGAGGTATACATTAATTTCGTAATGCATTGTCATTTGTGTTCTCTAGAGATCAAACCATTTGTCCCCTCACTTTCATTTTTTATCATTGTTCATAAAGTATTGCCTGAGAGCTTCTAACAAGGCCCCCCTTCCCCCCATTTGGCGATTCAGTGACCCCTGCTTGGCCACTGCTACTGAGGCGTTCGCCGGTATCAAACGAGTTTCGGAACCGTGGCTGTAGTCTAGATCAACACGATAGTGAATTTGACAACTGATGGTTCCTTCCGTACACGAGCCTGGAGATCATTGTGGATTACAAACGTATTGGATTGAACTAAGGATCGTTGGCTAAATTCATTTTAGCATAACCAATAATACCAGTTTTTCGGTTTCATCTGTGCCTAAAACGTAAAATGATATCTCACAAATAGTATAGTTTGGCATGGACTAGACACAGATAGATCTACACAGAAGAAAATGTTTCTTAACAAAAAAAATACTAATTCTACTGATACAGTATATTTTATATTTCTGAAAACTTTACCATTAACTACCAATAATTACGAACGATGACAATAAGTATAATGATTGACAACTGTCCTATTAGAAATATGATTCATTTCCGAATTACTTAATTGTATGGTCTGAAGACAAAACCATGTATTTAAAAGTCAACTGAATTCGATACGAAATATAATGATATAAGCTGCAATATCAATTCAAACAAGAAATTTAATTATCCCTAATCACACACTGTCGCTTGTGATGACGCTTACAAATTGAAACCATATAATTTTGCGAGCCGATTACACCCTGAAGCGATTCAGATCTTCTAAGCTTTATCGTCGATTCCCTTTTAAATTTGTGCGATTGTATATTTATTATAGCTATTGGGAGTTTATTTGTTTTCTGTTTAATAAATTCGTGCAAAATTCCGAAAGAGTAACATTCAATGATTAGTAGTACACCATGAGGCAATCAATGGTGGCGCCAGTGCGGGTACACAAGAAAAATGGGTCGCATCTCCACATTATTTTTTAGCAAATTTAGAAATATGATTTTTAAATGTGCTCAGAATGCACCAAATCAATTCAATTTTTGGAAAATGTTCTTGAGAGGTTTGCGACTATGACGCCTCTACAGAGTTGTCGTATTTTGAAACAGTTGTCCACTACCGAGTCTGTCCGTCCCCTATTTGTACCTCCAGTTTATGGAGCCTGGCGCCACCACTGAAAACAATGTCAAAATATGAAGGCATAAAATTTGAGAAATAATAGGACATTCCAAAATTAACAGTTTATATCACTATAGGTTAGAGGTTAACAGTTATTTTGAATCATTTCTTTCTATTAGGAACACACACCTTTTCTTCGCCATCTTCACCTCCATGACCACCATGTACATGTCGATTACCGTCATCTTCATCACTATGGCTATCACCATTCTCTTCGCTATTATCACCATCACTATCATATTCACTTGTGTCGTGGTCACTCGAATCACTTCCACTGTCATAATCTTCAGTCATAGCAGCTAAAGACGCTGATGACGAGTGAACTATATAAGTGGTCTCCATTCCCGCGGCGATATGTTCATTCACATGACAATGAAGCAACCATTGCCCAGGATTATCCGCAACCATCATACCACCTGCAGATGTTTCTTGGAAAACGTTGAGTACATCGGTAATATGACTTCCGTCGTTCTCTTCTATCAGTCCGTTTCCATGAAAATGAACAGAATGAATGTCCATAGTAGCACCGAATCCAGCGAAATACCACGCAATTCGATCGCCTTGATCCATTTCGAGACCTTTTATGCCTTGATAAATATAACCATTGATGCCATGTTTCAAATTATGTCTTAAAAACATTCGATCAGTTCGTATTCTGCCGTGATCCATTCGGGCTGGTGCGAATTCTCGAACATTCTGTGGGAAATACCAGCTCATACTTTCGTTGAAGACGGAGAAGAGTAAAAAGAACTCTCTAGCTACATCTTGACGTTTTGGTTCATCACCCATGATGCCTGGTCGACAGATTACCAGTGGGCCTATTAAACCAGAGTACACATCACGTTCAGAATTAACAGAGGAATAATATAAAGAGGATATACAATCTGGATCTCCTTCGCTTGGTCCTTTATGAACCTCCCATCTGAAAAAAAAAGACATAGAGATTGAAGCCTTTTTAATCCTTTGTAAAACAATTGGGAAACTCTTATAGCTTCTAGTTGCACTAATAAGATTTCCCATCTGACGTTTGTGCGTCTGTGCTAATGCTCTCGACCTCACAATAATTAAAACGATCTATTTCGAAAGATAACTAAGAACTAACTAAGAACTAAGAAATCAGAATGCTTTCATAGGAGTCAAATCAATGCCATATCTCGCATCCCGCAAGATCAATAAAGTACTGTTACATAATTATACGCTTAATTGATCCCAACAAACCACTCTTTGATTAAAGTACATGTATTATCAAGGCTACGGGGAATTCAAATTTCACACAGCAGTAAGGGAGGTAACACGCACTTTATATAGGAATACTTCACACTAAATTACACAACAATAGGGATTAATGGTATGTACAGATTTCAAGGTTTGGGTTATTTGGGGTTATAAGATTTCTTGCTACCTGTACGTTCTAAAATCACCCGGATAAACGTTGATGTCACTGTAAAAATAAATTTCTAGAGACTTTGGCATGGATTAATCCCGCACAGCCATGCTGTGACCTTTATTAAAACATCGAATTATTATTCAGTCATTGATCATTTAGGTCATTCAGATATCATAATACCGATGCCGATCTTAAATACAGTCTTTATTTATGGACATTTGTTAGAGAATTGCAGAAGGTTCGTTTTGACTAAAAACTGGGGGATATTTTAACGTAACTAATGCTGGTACTGAAGGATGCAGATAAAATATCCTAAAGGTACAGCATGGAAACCAGTATTTCTGATTCATCCCGTTTTTCATTTAGCATCGATTTGTAACATTCTAATTTTCAGTCCGACGTATGTGGTTTTCGTGCGTTTTAATGAAGTAAATTTCGCTAAAAATCTAATTATAACGATTTTGACGTTGTGGAACTGCAAAAACCACAGATCCCTGACTGAAAACTGGTACTTTTCAACAAAACATAGCCTATGTATTACGCATGCTATAAACTAAACTGTATCAAATCGACCATTATTAAAACAAAATAGAAGACTGATAAATCAAACCTGTAAACATGGTATCCACCAGGAGGAACTCGATCATCGTCTTTATAATGTGTCTTATCAAAATATAAACTTCCTTCGTTATTTTTATCAGTAGAGACCAGATGAGCATGTATAGAGTATGGTCGTGACGCCATGTTCTTGAACACTATTTCAATCACATCGCCTTTCTCAGCCCTGATCATCGGTCCAAGAGATCCAAGATGTTCGTCATTACCTTCTCTTTCTACTTGATACTCGAACGACGAGTCTGTATATTCCTTATATAAGGCTTTATAGTATTTAGTGCCGATAAATTTATCATTGTCTTTTACAAATATAGCTGAATTACTGAAATATAAAACCGTCAAAAATTATATTAACTGTGACAAGGTTCTGATAGCTAATCGAACTGTATTAAAAGGAATTAAAGTGACAGTTAGCAATAGTGATTTCATCAGTCATTTGCATCTAGAACCCCGGTTCCAACACTGGGGTGTTTTCACCCACTAGGGGTGTGGGACTAAGGTGTCATAGGTGTGGCCAACTGGTGTAGGAGAATAATTTATTTTGAATTGAGAGAGCACCTCACAACATAATATGCTAAAAATATGGATGATTGCTCCAGGGGTGTGAAGGCTGAAATAGGTTGGGAACCACTGATCTAGAGAGATCCAAGATAGCTATAGAAATTTATACATATGTGACTCATTTTGTCGCATTGCGATCTACTGCGATATGCATTTAGCATTTTTGCCGCCACCTCCCGTACCTTGATAAATATACTTTAAGTGAGATATGATGTGAACAAATCCTTACTGGGCAGTTTTCGATTTCATAAACTATTTTTCTCAATTATCAAAATCTAATGCTATCAAGGAAAATGAATATACCTCCACATTTTCTTCAAAGGCTCCCCGGTGATGGGTGAAAATTTTTCGGGAGCATACTCCCATAAGACTTCAACAGCACCAATAAAATAACGTCTAGTATGACGAGGCATGAACGGTTTCTTCAGGGTCTGGTAAAATCCACCACAGTCTTTTACATTATAATAGGCGGTCATTCCTCGAGTAAAGTGGAAGTTGTTCCTGCATGCAATAGCCCATGTACCTTAAAGAAATATTAGGTAATATGATTGGATGCGAAAAGTACGTTATGCCATACACTATCAAATGCTTTATATAAGTCCTAAATCTATAAAATTATATCTTCTTGTCCAATACGAGCCTAATTTAAATCTTTCGTCACATCACATTTACATGAAAGTTATTTTGATTCAGATTCTGGAATTCTATGTATCAAATGATTATGGGCTGTTCCAACCTAGTCTTAAAATTGTGGCATCTTCGGATAGATTTTTGTACTTATCCGGGGCAGCCCCCGTATCAGAAATCAATTATAGGATCCTGGGCTTGTATCAAACCATTAGGACTAATTACCTGGTTTAGTAACAACTGTTTGTAGCGTAGCTGTTGTTCCAGGGAACAACCTTAACGTATCTCTGGTTGTTTTGTAGAATTCGAAATCAACACCATGAAAATATATTGAATGGATGTCAAATTCACTTCCTTTGGCAAAAATATGGAAGGATACTTTGTTTCCCAAACAGAATTCTATTCCTTTCAGGTTAGAATACGCTCTACCATTTACAGCTGAAAGAAATCCAGATATATACATTAATACTCACTCAATCAGTCAATCAGGTACTTCTTCCGTTCCTAAATGGACTTGCCTTACACCTATTTGTAATCTTGGCCATCGTGACGAGGATTGAGTGTCCGTAACACATGTCAACAGTACAAATGGGCCGAGCATTTGTCAATTATCTATACTAGATTCGCACCGTTAAAATATGATATCAGTTGGTTCTAGGATATGGAAAGGGAAAATTAGAAAACAACTTACTCATTTTTCTATTGGACGCAACAAAACCAGGATCTAGATACCAAACTCTATCAGGAACACAAAACATATCAATATTTTCCCACAGATACCAGGATAAATTCTCGTCCACATTCGTAAAATATAGAGCTATTTCGTGGTCTACATCATGCTGAAAAGATATATCATTTTCATATTATGTAATGTTAATAACCAATTTTTAACGAAGTCGGGTTCTGTTAATCCTTTATTCATATAAAGAAACCAGCCTCCGCCTTTTAAAAGTCAGTTCAGATTGGTTAATTAATCGCGGCAGAATACAGAATCTGGTGTATTTTGCGTATGATGTAGGTCTCAAACGCTGTCGTAAGCAGTAAATGTATGACTGCATATCGTAACTAAATGTAAGTAACCATTCTGGAATTTCTTCCTTCTTTTTATAAATCTAAAGCGCAAGGCGTACATCGGTGGTTACAACTTGTCACTTAGTCAACAGATCAGTCACTCACTAAAATCAGTCGATATACGGTCACTTACAAGCACAAGCGTGTAGAGAGTCAGTTACTTTTGATGTACGACTACTAATCTCAGCTCTACGCATGCTAAAAATGATTACCTGTTTATTGTTTTTGTCGAGTGTTCCTTCTTTACATACAATCAATGGTCCGACCAAACCTGAATTCACATCTCTGACCTTATCAACCATAGATTGGTATGAATAGGTGATACAGTCGGGATCTTCATACGTTGGTCCCATGTGATCGGGTACATAGAACTGGTAGGTATGTTTCTCTCCTGGTTCAATGGGCACAGTTACAAAGTCACCTGAAATTATTGAGACCATTATGTGTAAGGATAAACATGGTGGTGAACTAATTCCTTGAACACTAAGAGCAACATCAAATTGACGATCCGCCAATCTAATCTTTTCATATGCCCAGAATTTATTATTTGAGTTCACCAGCTACACCAGATGTTTCTGACTTCCGATATCTGCTTTATAATTCCTTAGATATCGAGTTCTTTGACCAGACTAGAAATGGTTCATGGTTGCCTTACCGTCGCCTCTGGATTCAAAATCAACACCAACCATCCTTAATCCAGCAGGATCAAAGGAATACGGTCTTGTAGCTTTATTCATCACCTCCACTTCCAACAGTTCACCAACCTCCATTTTGATAAAAGGTCCTAGCATCCCTAAAGATTTTTCTGTGCCTTCTCGTTTCTTAGCTTCAGAGAAGGAATCATCGGTAGGTTCTCGAAATAAAGCTTTCTTGTACTGACTACCAATTCTGTCACCACGACCAGCAAAATATCTAGCTTCTAAACTGTAATAAAACAGCACATAGGAATCCCCGCATATTATATATATATATATCATTCTTCAGTTGCTATAAAGTGAAAATTGACAGGAGAGTTTTTAGTTATTTCTCAGCATAACATCTAATATATTAATCAGAAAGTAAATCCACAGAGATCCTCATAGCATCGGACTTATTCACTGAAGATGTAAATCTGAATTATTCCGATCGTTCAGGACAAAATCTTCTCAATCAGCAGAGCAGCACTAGCATCAAACTTAGGCTCTATCGTCCAGTCCTTCTTTTTACGCAAAGATTTTAAAGGAGAAGTCTGGTCGTCAGAGACTAGTCGAGGCTGAGCGCTGAGCCCTCCCTTACAGATATCGAAAAAAACGCTGATGTTCTATTAAGCATGTGGCAAAGATTTACCTCCAAGGTTCCACCAAAGAGCGTCCATTATATCTGTTATAACCAGTTGGAGCATAATCCCATATAGATTCTTCTATCATCAATTTATAATGTCTAGTACGACCATCAAGATATGTATCATCACTTAAGGTATCTTCTCCACATTGATCCACATTAAGAAAATGTCTCATACCGTCTGAATGAACATGAAAAGCAAATATAATTAATTTTGATCCCGAAAGTGATCCGAGTCGCCATTCGGCAATCCTCGACAGTTTCCGTAGAGCTGAGCATGTTGAAGAGCGCTAGTAGAACTTTTACGGTAGACCGTTTGCCAAGTCGCAAAGCTGATATTAATTATTGTACAATGCTTTAACATGGGCCTTACAAATGCTCAGATACATACCAGCTCTTATGTGCAACACTTGCTCATCGGTAAAATAATTCTCGGCCGTCAGATGTTATGCAGAATAAAAATACTGATCAAAAATGGGGTATGAAAGCCGTGAGAGAAACTTTCTTCGTTATTCCGGTCCATCCAACTGTAAAGGTTTTGCCCAAGGACAAGCTAATAGACAGGATTTTAAAAAACCTAACTTGATATCCTTTTGAAATGATTGCTCCTTTTTTCGGAAAGTGGACTTAAAACCAACCAACATTGAATTTACCTTCAAAGTGGTCGTTGACTTCGCAGTAAACCAATCGTTTTCCCGGTTTTGTCAGGGTCATCTTCGCAGAAATAAAGGTTGCTGAGATAACCTCTTCGACTGTAACTCTATAATGGGTATTGGGTATTACAGAATAAGTTAATATGGCCATTGTGAGAGAAAGAAGTTGAAAACTTTGGCAAGATCATGACATTGTAAAGATGACGCACCGAGGTTTCTGCTACTTTCAGAATTGTCTGTGGAATATTATAATTTTTGTTGTCTTTTTAGATTCAAAACATCAAATACAATAATCATAGTGCAGATTGGCAGATATAGGCCAGAAATAGGCTATTTGAAATTTCAATTTGGTTGCTTTATATAATTTACATGTACAATAGAAATCTAATAGCTTCGTACCTTCGGTTTTTAGATTCAAATGTCTGTCCTTCAACTCTGAATGAATGAATATCCCTTTCACCGCCGAAACCAATGATGTAGAAAACAACTCTATCAGCAACGCAGGCTTGGAATGGAGGTAAATTTCCCAAGATATATCCATTGATAGAGTGCATTCTGTTACTGTGATCAAACGGTATATCTTGTATCTTATTCAGGTAGGCGCAGGTTGATTCGGAATAACATCGTTTCATATTTTCAGCCAGATAAGCACTAAAGTTTTCATTAAAGATTTTCATTAGAATGGGAAATTCCTTGTCGGCATCTTTTCTATTTCCATGTTTATCTAGGACTCCTGGAAGTAAAACAAAAAATATTTTCAGTGGATAGAGTTCAACATAGACGTATTTCAGATTGCTGATGTATCACACTGGCGTAAAATCTGTTTAAGAAGATGTTTCATTGATGGAGGATACGATGCCATATGACTGTGATGATGTGATGCCGTTTAACTAACAAAGTTCAACGATGGTCTCTTATCAAGGTTCAGCGATGGTTTCTTTTCAAGGTTCAACGATGATGTCTTATTAAGGTTGGCGATGGTGTCTTATCTACTTATCAACTATGATGTCTTATCAAGGTTCAACGATGACGTCTTATTAAGGTTGGCGATGGTGTCTTATCTACTTATCAACTATGATGTCTTATCAAGGTTCAACGATGGTGTCTTATCTACTTATCAAGGTTCAACAGTGGTGTCTTATCTACTTATCAATGTTCAACGTTTTAAAGATTCGATTACGTTCGGTGATATTGATAAGATCTATAGATTGGCTTAGGTTCAACTCAACGTTGATTAGACAAAGATTAACAGCGATGTGTTGCAGGCTCGAGAAGTGCCAATTTTAGATAACCACGGAGTGATCCTTATAAATCGGATAAAACATGATAATCTTGATAAAGTTATAATACGAACCTTTTTTGCATGTGACCAAGGGACCAATTAAACCAGCATTAGTATCAGCAGCTACATTAGTACCGTGAGAGTGATAAGCCCAAGGTACACATGGTTCATCATCTTCTGTGGGTACAAATTCATCTTCGATCACCCAGATATATTTGTGATCATCTCCTGGAGCGACTTCATCGTCATATTTAGGTTCTCCTTTAGTTTTATCAAGGTAGATGGCACCTAGAATATCACGTTATAAGCTCGGTTTGCATTTCATCTATTAAAACGGCCAACGCCTAACATAAATGACGTTGACTATTATTTTTACAACTACTTTCTCTTTCAAAAAGAAAGAGAGTTTTTGGTCTACTAGCATGATTGTGCTGGTGCATACGGGAAGTGACATGCAGTTTACAAAGAGGAAGTTTTACCCGGACAGCAGAGAACCTACTCTTTTCGATTTCCAACCATTAAGGGTCAGCATAGGGTCTATGTTTCTCAACGTCCTGTCCAAACGACTTGATGCTTATGTTAACACCGTCAACTTGCATCAATAACATTATTGGAAGTCCCATTGGAAACATCCTTATACAACGAAGCATTTCTTAACCTTAATAGAATTATAAAGAGGATTTCTATATTTTTTATTTGTATCTGGGACATTGATAGCATCAATTAACACCATTCCAATTTTCACTGAGACGTCTGTGGTTCAAAAAATTCCAAAAACTAAATGTTCGATGACGTCACTAATCGCGAAGGACCATATGTGATAAAGCATAATAATTCACTCAGAAAGATCGAACGTGAAATAACAATCCGTTCTGACGTAAGCATTCAAATGTTATTGAAACCAAAAACCACATAGATCCTACCTTCGTGCTGTTTTTCATAATGAACACCATGTGGATGGACACTGTATGGTCTGCTCGCCATATTCTTAAAATAGATGATGATTCTATCACCAGCTTCACCCTTTAGTAAAGGACCAAATAATCCCATCCATGGCGGCTGTTCGATCACATCCTCAAATCTATCATCCGTGTACTGTTTGTAGACGGCTTTCTTATAGGTACCACCAATTCGATCATCACGCGTTTCACAAAATATTTTATACGATCTGAAAAAGAGAAAGTCATTGGACTGATAAATCAAAATAGAAGTAGATTGTATGTTGATTCGTGAAATTTTTTACAGATGTAAAGCTACAAATTTTAGATCGAGAAAGAAGTTTGTCTGTAGTACTGGATACTACGGAAGCGTATTAGGGCCATTCATTTTTTTTGGGGGGGTGGGGGGGGGGGGGATTTTATGTTGAATTTTCAAGTCAGTATGTTGAATTTTCAAGTAAGTATGTTGAATTTTCAAGTTAGTAACTTGAATTTTCAAACTAGTATCTTGGATTTTCAAGCTAGTATCTTGGATTTTCAAGCTAGGATGCTGAATTTTCAAGTTAGTATGTTGAATTTAGTAACTTGAATTGAAAATTAAAACAAAAATGAATGACCCTAATACGCTTCCATAGGATTCCGTAGTCTACCAATCCCAACCAGTTGTGAAGACTACGCCTATTTAGTACCCTTTCAGTACTTTGTAGACAGGTAGCTGATTTTTTGGCAGGTTGCTTCTTAAACTTAGATAACTTACTTGTCCATTGGATCTTCAACAAGAGCTTTACCATGAGGCGCATAATCCCATTCTATTTCCACTACACCAATATAATAAACACGGTCTCTCGATTCCACAGTTACACACAAAAGTAACAGCATCACCGATAGGGATAACAATACCGATCTGCCTGGCGGTCGAGCAGTAACAAGACATGATGGTAACAAAGTCATTTTAGTTCAGTATCCAGAAGAAATTATCTGAAAAATGCTTACACAAAAAATACTTCTTTTGGTGTAAAAATATTAAAAATTTAATCGCAATAACAGTACAAAATTATAATATACACAAAGTTTCCATAATTTTTTTGCTGATTTGCTGATGTCTTTTTAGGCGATAAAGGATGCGTTTCATCACCTATTTATCATCTTAATTCCAAACTATTGAAAAGTTTTAATATTCCTGAGATAGTGGCAGATAAACCGTTTAAGTGATCACATATGTACACGAATGGTTGCCTACGGACGACTGTTTTCAACTGTGACTTTATCCTTTGTTCATCACTCCAACGCAACGTCTACCTCGGACAAACACCGTTTACAAGAGCGCACCAGTTGACTAAAGACTATACGTGTTTTTAGTCACAATTTATCATTTGATCCTGGGTAATTTTCAAAATTCGTTGAAAATGTCTGTTGTCACCTTCGGCCCTGCAATAAACATCAGTCAATATTAGTTGTGTCAATAACATCAGGTTTCAGATGGTTGGAGAACGGAAGTTCAGACTCAAATATGTCGCCGTCTTTGAGCTTCTGACAAACCGACCAGATGCCTTTACAACTATTTTTAATGAGTCTATATCGAGTTTTGTTTACAGATGTTGGTCGATGTTTAATTATGGTTTTTGGAATAAAAATATCACTAACGCTAGTTTAACTTTGAGGGACAAAACGTGACATAGATGCGTTTGAAAACGTTGTACTGGTTAATCGAACATTGAAATCGGTCTTAAAAATCACAGCTACTTTTCGACTAGTTACATAAATTTCAAAAGTTCATTTAGGGTCAAATTTTCGTCGTGTTGCCCATGGATTAAAATCTTTTAGCGATGATATTTTAATTCTTTTTTTTTTGCTAAATATTTCACACCTTGAAATAAATAGTGTACTCTCAGATTATCACTTACTGCTAATCGACTAAAGATATCCTTAAAATTTTAGCGAGGTTTCAGGCATTCTTATAATTTGTATTGGACCACTTACAATATCTATTTACAGCATTTTATTAGGTGTCTGACGTTTGTGGGTTTCTGTATTTTCAAGTATATTAGATTATGACGTCACCAACAAAACGTCTTTTTTCTTGTATGTTTTGAAAGGAGGGGGGCGGGGCGACATTATCAGTGATCCAGTTTTGCAGACAGTAACCACAATCGTCAGGAACAGTTTTTATCGGTCGGTTTAAGTCTTGTGGGTGCTACAAGGAAGAGCTGACAAGGGATAGCTAATGTGCCTTTCCAGCTAACAGAGAATCGTCTGCAATTAAATAGAAATATGTTGATGGACAACAGCCTAAGTAACAAGAATTATAAATAATCCTCAAAATTGTTTACGTGACTTTATGTAGAACTGAATTTTAAACTTAAATATCGAAATGCACTCAATTTCAAGCACATTCATATCCATTTATTCATAAACAGATTTATACGAAAAAAACAACATTTTAATTGACGAAGCTTTAAATTCTTGTGTTTTAACGTTCTTATCACTAAATAAGACTTACATGAAAAACGTAAATGGGTTTAAACACCCGTGTCAACTTGAGATTTGCTCTTACTCATTTCTGTACATCTCTTATAATGTACTGCACATCAAAACTTAAAATAGATTACATAAAATAAATTTATAGGTGACGCAATCCTTGCAAATATCAACCGTTCCATGTATAACATCTCGATATATACCATAATTTAAAGAGACATACATGTATATCGATTATATTTGAACATTAAAGGGATAGTAAAGTGGTCTTCTACAATCCTTTTTAGAATAATATTCCATTGGAGGGTAATTCTAATAATTATGGTATATAAAACTAGATGCATTCCCTCTGTTTATCTACATTGTATCCCAATAGAATATCAACTTTAATATCTACATGTTTCCCAATGGAATATCAACTTGAATATCTACATGTTTCCTAATGGAATATCAACTTTAATATCTACATGTTTCCTAATGGAATATCAACTTTAATATCTACATGTTTCCTAATGGAATATCAACTTTAATATCTACATGTTTCCCAATAGAATATCAACTTTAATACCTACATGTTTCCTAATGGAATATCAACTTTAATATCTACATATAGTATCCCAATGTAAAATGGCAAGATATCAACAAGAGGGGCAAAGGTGTATAGTATTTAGTTATAGTAACGGAATTGGTTGGTTGTTTGGTTGTCAGAATTTTTTCGGGGAGAGGAGGGGGGTCAATTAATACAGCCCCGATATGGGGCTCGACAGTCTGTCCCCAGAGTCTCGTGAGGCTGTAGCCGCCATGGTCTGGATGCAGGTCAGGAAGCGAATATTCTGCAGCCACCTTAAAAGTCATCACAAGTAAAATGGCGACCTATCTATCTAAGTAGGTTTACAAAATGGTCTGGTACAATGGCAATAATAATAAAGTTAGATATTATTTCTATATTTTAAATGAGTGAACTCTTGTTGGTAGTAAAAGCTTGTTTCAATACGATTGAGATATTTCACTTTCCAGCTAACCCTAGTATTTAATAAAACGTGAAAATGCTTGACTTAAACATCTTATAATTGACAATAATTTTAATTCTTGGGTGTATAATGGTAACAAAATTTGATTTTCCTTATTCGTGACTTTATGCAATATAAAGTTTCGTTTAATTTCTTATCCATTTTAAATGTATACTACCTCTTATAATGACCAAAACATTGAAATTTAAAAAAAAAATAAATTTTGACTGCGATAATATCTGAGCCGAAAACTCGGCCAGTGTGCGTAGGTCCACGACAGCCCTGCGACAAAATCGGGTATGATCGGGAGATCACTGGCATGTTTGATCGAAAGACGTCCTGACGTGCTTTTTCGGCAAGTGCGCGAGTGTTCTCGATATTCCATGTACGTATCACATGCTCACTTCTGGATGATATTGTTCACGGTAGCTCATCAGAAAGCCGATCAAAGCACCCCAGTAGCGATAAAAAAAAACGGTAAATGTGCGCCGGCCTTAAGTTCTTGTAATCGACATCACTGTTCAAAAAATCCGTTTTGTTTGCTTATGAGCTAAAGTAACTCTATGATCTGTTCAAGTTTTTGCTCTTACTTATTGTTGACTTGGTACATTGGTACAATGTTTTGCTTTCCTACAACCGATTGGGATAAGGAAGACTGACAGTACCATGCAGTTGAACAATGAAGACGATTTTACCAGCGATATGCACAGCTTGTAGCACACAGGGTCTTGCTATATTGTATCATTCGAAGGACTATATGCTTTTTCCAAATCGGCCAGGTTTAAAGGAATACCATCTCTTAGGATGGACATATAATTCAAACCTTCTCAAAAAGTGTATGTATTCATCAGTTAGACTTACCAGGTGTCATGACTAAAGAACAGAATCTCTATATAAGATGATATCCATTAAACTAAATAATTATCAAAACACGCTTCTAAGCATGTTTCAAAATTACTTTGTTTAATGGATTTATTGGATTATAGAGAGATTCTTTTGTATAGTTAAGAAACAATGCAAGACTCATTTTAACCAAGTCTAAATTTTTCAATTTTTGGGTTATTCTAAGAGGCAGTGCACACCTTTAAATTTCAGCACCCTTATTAATATCTCGAAATATAAACTAGGCAAAGTAACAGAAGTTTATTTATTATCCTATAAATTACAAAATATCAGAAGAAATACTACTACTTTCATACTTTAGGTTGAATACCAGCTTCTTTAGCTAAGTCTATCATTTGGGCTGAAATTGAAGAATGTAGCTAGTTAATTTATATGTACATACAGATTAAAATTTTGCTTGGTAAACTTAAAGTCTCAATATCAGTATAATTTTAATGAACTTTCTTCAAAAGCTAGCAACATAAGCCTAACCATATAACAATCACTTCAGATTTGCCTCCCTTTTGTCAACTCCTTGCGTCTCTTTAAAATGTTCTTTGACTAGACCGCAGGAACCACAGACATCCGATTGAAATTTGGAATGGTGCAAATGTATGCTATCAGTGTCCCTGATACACATAAAACATTAAGAAAACCTTTTTATAATCATTCATATAATGGTTGAAAGTTTGAAGTCATATCTATTGTCCCGACACTTTTGTTGTTAGCATAATTCTTTGAAACTTAGAAACATAATATGTTTATAAATATTATTCAAAACTCTTTTCTTTTCTTTTTTTAAAAATCTGCAAATTTCTATTTCTGATTAAAGTGTCAGGACAGCATATCTGAAAAGTAGCTTTGTCTACCACTTGAGAGGCATTGCCGGAAACTTACCATCTCCTCTTATTTTATCTTGTATTTTCTTGTTGGCATCACGTCTTTCAATTTGTCTTAATATTTCTTGTTGTTCTTCTTTAGTTGATTTCTTTAAATTACCTACAATGAAGAATAAAAAGGGGAGCATAAAGGCATTGACTAAAGAAAGTTAGCGGCTAAAACATTTCTATTTACATGTATAAACATCACAATGATATGGAGCATTAACTTTTACTTTAAAATACCCTAGCAGTGTGTAATCAGGCAAATTTTGCCAGGACATTAGCATTGAAGTAGATGCTTATGGGAAAATACTTACTAAATCTTCTGGCTCCATAAATAATACCACTAAAAATCATCCCATATCTAGCTGCCTGTAATACAAAACAAATCAGCATGGTAAAAGTTACTGTTTCTGATTAACTAGTGCAACAATGGACTCATGTTTGATTAAAGGCCTTTGGCTTGGAGGGGGGGGAGCTGGTTTTTCCCTGAAATTTTGAAGGGTTGAGATGTTGGGCAAAGCATGTCTCCAAGCACCTGAGTCTTCAATTTTTCTTTGTTTTGGACATGAACTTAATTATTTTTAGAGCATCACCCAAAAGCACAACTTATCTGCCCAAGGCTTTTTCGGTCACTGCCCGAATAGATAATAGATAGAGTAGATAGTAGCCCTTCTGTGTAAAGCTTTGACCCAAAGGAACAGGTTGGTTACATTGTCATCTTGGCATTGATCATACACGAAAGTAACGTTATTGGGGTTCCTAGTTGTCAATGCTATACAGTCTACGTCTTGATAAATCCTGGTGTCAATTATGACATTGAGATTTCGGCCATACATGTTGTTAGTGTAGTGATAAGCAAACACAGCAGGGGTCCAGTTGGTAACCCCCTTCCAATTCCAAACACACATCAAACCAAAACTATAAGATGTTACTACATTGCCCCATTACTCGGCATAAGGCATTGGAAAATGTACACAAGAGAGAGGACTTCACTAATTTATGACGTCTATGTATTAACAAATGATATTTGTTATGAGCCATAATACAAAAGTCCGACCAACCACATTTGGTATAGTGAATCTGAACTGAAGTGAAGTTTTTATGACCTTCAAAAGAATTAAGACTAAGAGCATAATCATTTGTAAAACAGAGATTGTTTCAAGTAATGTTTAAAGAAGGAAGTTGACATCATTCAATAAGACTTGTGCACAAACGTAAATAATGGACAATGCTTACTCGGATAAGGGGATTTATGCGGACAGGCTTGTGAAGTGGTTGATACTCCGCCATGATGGTCAATGAAACTAACTTGACTGTTCGGCCGCTTGCACTGCCGATTCTGAACCAAACTTACTTTGCCAAAAATCTTTGCCAAAGACTATCAAATCCAAACCATAAAAAAAAATTTGAATGTATATTCATTAGGTATTTTATGTATTATTGATTTATTTCTATCAATTGACCAATAAATAATAAACAATGAAACGAAAACAATTTCTGATTAACACATAACGAACGCATCTTGTCTTTGAAACCCGAACATTTTTAGGAATTTTTGCATCTCAAAAACGAAGTTATATTTCTTTTTATATGCCAAAAATCAGCAAATCAGCAAATGAGAAAATTAGTTGTTGTTGTGGATGCTGTGACATTAGTTGTTTTCATTGTACACCCAAATCCACCCTATTTATATCTTGGTCAGTTGCCGTCTTTCAAACTTTCGTCTGATTCTTGTATTTTTTGGAAGCCAACGTAGTCCGCAATGTCGGATCTTAGTTTCGTTCATCGGAATGAAAAATAGTAAAAGGAAGTGATAACTATTTTGCAAATAATCGAATCTTGCTTCTATTTTATGTTTGTTTATGATATATCATATTCCATCTTTATTTCAAGATTCAAAAAAAAAAAAAAAAAAGAAAAATGATTGTTAGTCGAGATTATCCAGACTCAAGTATTCACGAACTGGACAGGTGCGTCCTTGAACTTGGACATTGGCACCATTGAGAAAATTTCGACATGGAAAAATGGAAGAGCAAATAATAATTACGATCTTGTCTATTCTATTTGCTCCAGTCGTCTCAGTTGTATTTTTAGTGATTGTTCTCGCCTCTCTTGGAAAATCTCTAGGAATTAGAAAGAGATATGTTTCTTTCTTGTTAAAAGTCTTTGATGTGAGTAAACTATAATTTTGTGAATTCGATTTTTTCTTTCTTGGCAAAATTTTTTTCATTGTATGATTTATTTCCGCTTCTTTTGATAGTCGGAATTTCATGAATGACAAGATTATAAACCAGAACTTGCAAATGCATTATATCCAGTTTTTCTTTTAACTCTATTCCAAATTTGATTTTGCCATTGTGTTAAGGCTTGTAATTAACATTATTATTAATTAGTTAAATTAGGCTTGATCATGGACAAGAAGATTGTGTAGATCTAATGTTGTAGTTCTAGTCAAATTCTGGAAATTTTAGGTTCAATTGGACTGTGAACATAATATAAGCTTATTATGCATTGTGTGAACAAAGATTAGATAAGATAGATCTACATTTTTTCTATTTTATTGACGGACACTTAATTGTTGTCAGAATACCAGAATAGTTAATACAGCAAAATGCAGTATAGTATAAACAGAATTTATAAGCTTACCTTATATTTTTTTTCATATGAAGGTGCCAGTTGAGATTCAGACGGATATCTCAGATCTTTAATTTAATAGGATTTTAAAGAGATTTTCTTCTTTTTTTTTTTTAATAGGAACTCTGATGAAATCGACTTTCACTATCTCAATTTTCAGTCAGGCGTCTGCTGGTTTGCAATTTCACCAAAAATAAGCGTTATATGATGTCACTTTCGCTCTCAGTTTATTTCATTAAACTGTAAATGAAATTTCAGAAGTTACTGTAAGGGATTGTATGGAATTGCAGGAACCTCAGACATCTAATTGAAAATTTCAATGGTGCAAATTGGTGCAACTTGATTCTATCAGTGCTATCAATTAGAAACCCTCTTTACAATCCCTTTAATTGTTTGCTATAATTATATTTATTATTATAATTTTATTATCTCTTAGTTTGGTAAAGAAAAAATATCAACTTATCAAAGAAATCGTCAAAATGAAGAACAAGACTCTGAAGAAGAGGATGCAAATGAAAACACTAAAAAGCCCCTTGAAAATGGAAATGGTATGTCTTTTCTCTGGTTGTTCATATATTAAATGATATATATGCGATTGACTGTCTTCTGTTTTTCTTTAAATGAATAAATAATTTTTCTCTTATGATCTTGGAATAATCTAAGTTTAACGAGGGCTTTTCATGCTGCAAACATGTGATATGATATTCTAACCACCACCTCTCAGACTACAATGTTTAAATGGCTGTTGATTTATCTATATTTGCCAGTCATGTCTGATTATAGCTAAAAAATGATAGGACATTTGATGCAAATGCTTTAGATCTTCTACATTTTCATTGATGAAAATTGGTACAAGATCTTAATTTACATATTAAAGTGTCTGGCTGGGAATTTCTGAAATCAACAGCCCTGGGTAACTGAGAATTGCAGATTTTTTCGAAACCTATGTATCATTCACATATTTTTGTGTTTCTAGGGTTAAATGTTATTGAAAGAGATATTTCTATATCTTATAAAAGTGGAATAAAGATACAATCCGTGCCTAGTATTAACCAAATTAAAAAGGAATTCAATCTATCAGACATTACATATTTTGCTAAAGCTGGTGTGGAGGTAAGTTTGGAATGGAAACTAGAATTGCAGGAACTATTTTTCTGGAAGTTTTAAGGATTTGTCGAAATTATTATTTTACTATTTTCTTTTCAATTTTGTAAAAGTTTACAGGAATGACGGAATCCTTGTTTTAATGTACTAAGACAAAGCCTGTAGTCTTCCGTGGAATCATGTAATATAGTAATGTAGATTTATTAGGAATGATTTTTGGTTTCAGACTATTATTGAAGATGATGTCACTAAAAGATTTTCAGCTGAAGGTAGGATTAGATATATTTATTATCTGAATTTTTTTCAAAATTATGTTCAGTACCATTTGGTTCCAGGATTCAATTCAGGCATATTTTGAGAGGATGTCCTAGAATCAATGTTAGTAGGAAAGAACCTAGGACATCCTAGTGCTAAGATCATTTCGAGAATAAGTGGCCTGATTTTTCCAACATTTTTTTGTGTCACCAGTACAGATTGCTTATGCCTCTGTCTTGGCAATTATTCTCTCATTGCACACTGCATGATATTTGTCTGTTACAGAATTACCATCATGGAATTTACTATCAAGAACAAATTATGGCTACCATTATATCAGGTATATAAAATTTTATGTGATTTTTTTTTTTCACATTTATTTACTGTCTTGTTTTGTTCGACTCAACAGAGCATTTGATTTCTAAAATTACTTTTTGATTTAAAGAATATTGTTAGATTCAAATGCATAGAGTAACAACCAAACAAAATTGGATGTATTTCTGATTGAAATCAGCAATTATATTCAGATAATTCCAAAATGCAAGTTAGAATAATTCCCACTCACTGGTTTCTGCTGGTAAATCTTCTAATTTAGCTAATTATGAATTAATTATGGACATGTAAGACAAACTGGTATTTTTCCAAGTATCTAGATATATCCCACTGGAATATTAACTTTAATATCTATCCTTTACTTTCTATTCATATATGCATTAGCATTTTCATTTTCATAAATTAAAAATAAGGGAACCCATCTTTAATATTAGATTCAGTTATAAAGCAACCATTTTATCCATTTGATTTTCAGTTTACGCTTAACAATAATATGGGGATTAGGTTTTCTTGTTCGATATTTTGTCCTTTTTCCATTTAGGTAAGTGAGTTTTTTCTGTACTTTATATTTGCAGTCTTTTAATTAGATTTTTGAACAGAAACATTTTAGTAAGATTGTATTTTGGTCTAGTTTTGTCTGTGCCTATATAGCAGATATTCCATGTAAAATATATTAAATTACACAGCTTTGCCCCCTTTGGGTAATATAGAAAAGATCTCTGACAAATTTCATAACAAGTGGGATTAAGAATGAGGTGCAGACTGTAGATGACTTGAATGTCTTTTTGAGGTACATAGTTGAGGCCCCTCTTTGAAAAATTTTGGCCCCCCTTCTCCCTGGGATCCTAGGCTAGCTAGGGCCCTGCCTATAACCAAAGTGGCATCGGATTCAAAAGCATAATAATATACGATATTGTTATGATAAATTACTTAATGATTTCACATACGTTCTAATATGTTGTAATGTTTGTGATATGATACAATATGTTGTGATATGATACAATATGTTTGTGATATGATACAATATGTTGTGATATGATATATGATATGTTTTATGTATTGTATGTATTATTGAATATTTCAGGTTTAAGAGAGATCTCAATCAATATGTAATGTTAATGTGTTTTAGAATATTAGCCAGAGCTTGTTCAGCTATTGTCACATTTCATAATAGGTAAAGACATATTTTTAATATTTTCATAGTTTTATGTTAAATCTATAACTTTTTCCAGAAATCTCATTGAAAAAACTCTCCAATATGTCCCTTTTAAAAAGGAGGATAGAATGTCTGTCAAAACTGTATTCGCAGGAAGTTTTTAGTGGTCTAAGTCCAAATGTATTAAACCATCTACAGTTAATATATATTGTAATTTTTTACTTGTAGTGAAAATAAAGCTAAGAATGGTATTTGTGTAGCTAACCATACATCACCTATAGATGTTATCATGTTATCTTGTGATAATTGTTATGCCATGGTAAGTATATCATGTTATCTTGTGATAATTGTTATGCCATGGTATGTATATCATGTTATCTTGTGATAATTGTTATGCCATGGTAAGTATATCATGTTATCTTGTGATAATTGTTATGCCATGGTAAGTATATCATGTTATCTTGTGATAATTGTTATGCCATGGTAAGTATATCATGTTATCTTGTGATAATTGTTATGCCATGGTAAGTTCACAAACAAGATCTCTGATTGGCTATATTCGCTGGTGTACAATCCAATCAAATCATTTACAAACTTCCATGATACAAGAAAGGTGACTATTACACTAGTAATATGCTTGGTAATTTTCCGATGCCTGAGTTCTTGTTTTGATTTACAATATTTTTTATAATTTTACAGATTGGTCAGTCTCAGGGTGGGTTATTAGGTGTTTTACAACGAGCTATGGCCAGAGCAACATCACATATCTGGTTTGAAAGATCAGAAGTCAAAGATAGAATCTTAGTAACGAATAGGTATTGTTTCTTTTCCTTTTGTCATGTAAATATTTTTCAGTTCTCCAAGCATTTTGAATATTCAGATATTATTTATACCATTACACCAGAGAAAATTGTAATTGTACTCTTACGGTTAAAGGTGCCCTCACACCATAGCCACACCACATTTGCATATGGTTGCAAATGATGAATGCAGCTATGAGTTTCGAACACAACTCACAACTCAGTTTGCATGAAAGTTTGCATTCGAAACTAATGACCTCTATTCTTATTGACAACCGTACGCAACTGGTGATCGCATATATGTGAGGACCTCTTTAATGGTTTATAATGTATTTACAATGGTTATTGTTATTGATTTGTTGTAGGTTGAGGGAACATGTGGATGATTTAGATAAATTACCAATTCTTATATTTCCTGAAGGTAAGTAATTATGACTTTTCTTATGTATTAAACATGAAGACATATTTCAGATGTTACCTCTAGAGAACAGTCGTGTTACAGGCTATGCATGTTGAAGAAACCTTGACATTTGAAATTGAAATGATTGAATTAATAAGTATAATTCTGCTGTCCTGGCACAAATTTTTCTCATCGCTGTCTTTCTATATTTTAGGAACATGTATAAATAATACGTCAGTTATGATGTTTAAAAAAGGAAGTTTTGAAGTTGGTACAACTATTTTTCCTGTTGCTATTAAAGTAAGTAATATTGAGTATTTAAAGTAAGTAATATTGAGTATTTAAAGTAAGTAATATTGAGTATTTAAAGTAAGTAATATTGAGTATTGAAGGTATTTAAGTTAGTATTCAAGTATCATATTATAGTTGATATTCTATTGAGATACATGTAGATATTAAAGTTAATATTCCAGTGGGATATATCTAGATATTAAAATCTATATTCCATTAGGATACATGTAGATATAAAATTGATATTCTATTGGGAAACGTGTAGATATTAAAATCTATATTCCATTAAGATACATGTAGATATTATAGTTGATATTCTATTGAGATACATGTAGATATTAAAGTTAATATTCCAGTGGGATATATCTAGATATTAAAATCTATATTCCATTAGGATACATGTAGATATAAAATTGATATTCTATTGGGAAACGTGTAGATATTAAAATCTATATTCCATTAGGATACATGTAGATATTATAGTTGATATTCTATTGAGATACATGTAGATATTAAAGTTAATATTCCAGTGGGATATATCTAGATATTAAAATCTATATTCCATTAGGATACGTCATGTAGATATTGATGTGGAATAAATACAGATGTTGAAGTTAATACTACATTGGGGTAAATGTAGATATACTGTTGCGATACACACAGATATTAAAGTTGAGGTTCCGACATGTGATATTCCATTGGGATACATGTAGATATTAAAGTTAATATTCCAATGGGATATATCTAGATATTAAAATCTATATTCCATTAGGATACGTCATGTAGATATTGATGTGGAATAAATACAGATGTTGAAGTTAATACTACATTGGGGTACATGTAGATATACTGTTGCGATACACACAGATATTAAAGTTGAGGTTCCGACATGTGATATTCCATTGGGATACATGTAGATATTAAAGTTAATATTCCAGTGGGATATATCTAGATATTAAAATCTATATTCCATTAGGATACGTCATGTAGATATTGATGTGGGATAAATACAGATGTTGAAGTTAATACTACATTGAGATAAATGTAGATATAAAAGTTGATATACTGTTGCGATACACACAGATATTAAAGTTGAGGTTCCGACATGTGATATTCCATTGGGATACATGTAGATATTAAACTTGATATTCCACCAAGATACATAAAGATATTAATAATCTTAACAAAAATCATTATTAAGTGTTGACTTTGGAAATTTTTTTGTGTTTGGCCTTGCTATATAAGATTATTGAACTCATTACTTCTGTCTCTTACAGTATGATAATAGATTTGGTGATGCCTTCTGGAATAGTAGTAAACAAGGTATGATACAACATCTGTTGAATATAATGACAAGCTGGGCTGTTGTCTGTGATGTCTGGTATCTTCCACCAATGAATAAACTTGTAAGTAATGTTCTTTACTTGTGTTTGAAATTCATGTTCCCTTTGCATACATGGGCTTCACATTAGGAATAAAAAGCCATAAACCATTTAATCCGAAGTGGTATGCAGGTTTATAATCTAACAAACTTTTTCATCCAATCAGCATTGTCTATATATAATAGTTATGAATTTCACAATCATGTGTAGTTTGGAGTAAAATTTTTGTGGTTGAGAATCGTGTGGAGGGAAAGAAGCATCTTATTTGGAAGCTCTTCATGGGTGTTTGATTAACAGATATTTCAGTTATAATTTATAATATATTTTAAGGAGGGTGAAGATGCTATTGAGTTTGCTAATCGTGTTAAAAGGGAAATAGCTGCTAAAGGTGGATTGGTTGATTTAGAATGGTAAGTTTCTCCTAAAAGACTAAGAAGCAGACGACCATTTGACTTCATACTCAGTGGTCTATCTACATATCTTATTTACATGAAACAGGTTGAACTGACATGGGGTTGACTTTTGGAAGCATTGGTCATGACTGGACATTTTTTTTTGCTTTGAGGAAGCTTCTAGCCATTTAACAGACGACAATCATACTTACTACCAGCTGAGTTATTCCAATGCCAATTTTGGTATTAAGGGGGGTGAAAGCTGACACTGGGCAGAAGCACTGGCACAGGAATCAGAATTTTTTATGTTGGGGAGGGTTCTAATCAAGGAGATATTCATATAGTCGTATTATAGGGTAAGAGAAGATATATTTTGGATTTAATCCAAATTGTTTTTCAGGGATGGTCAGTTAAAACGAACAAAGGCTAAAGAGTCTTGGAAAGAAAAACCACAAGAAGAATATAGTAAAATGTTAAAAGTTGATTGAAGAATTATATATGAGATCAACTCTAAAATGTAGTTGTGATGATTTTCTTTATAATGTTATTAATTCACTTTGATTTTTTATCAGTAGTTTATCAAATTTGTAAGAGAATTGTTTTCTTTTTTGTTCCTGCTTCTTAAAGGTATATTACCTCTTAGAATGGACATAAAATTTAAAGTCTCAAACTTGGTTAACAAGTGTATATATTCATCAGTTAGACTTACCAGGTGTCATGACTAAAGAATAGAATCTCTACATAATATTATATACATTAAAACTATATAATTATTGAAACACGCTTCTTAGCATGTTTCAAAATTACTTAGTTTAAAGAATTATTACTTAGTTTTATAGATTTATTGGATTACAGAGGGATTCTGTTGTATAGTTACGACACCAGGCAAGTCCACTGATGAATAAAAACTCATTTTGGCCAAGTTTAAAAATTTCAATTTTTTGGTCATCGTAAGAGGTAGTATACCTTGAAGCTGGTTTTATACAAGGATCATTTTGATTCTTTAACTTAGAAGTGTTGCAAGAATCATGGCATAGCAGATTTTTGTCATCACAATCTCCAAAATAAAGTTTTTTTTTTTTTTTTTTTTTTAGAAATATTGTTATACATGTTTTTCTTTCAGTATTCTTTCTAGATAATTCCATTTTGAATATGAACTTGAACGCCAATTTTTACTAAAAAAGAATTAGAGAATATTTTCTTAAAGTACAATTTGTATGTGTTGTAAGGACACCATAGGCAAAATTCAAAACATGAAGTGGCCTTAAACATAAAGTTTACCAGTGGCCAAGAGTTTCTAGCACAGCTTAGAACACAGTTGCATGAGAGCTGCCTTCTAAACTTTTATTCCTATTTGCAACCATATGTGATTGGTGATTGCTATGGTGTGAAGGGTCACTATTAACAAGAGCAGTCTACTTTATTTTTTACACAGAATCAATAGTAATTGAAAGTGTACAAGGCAGACTTTAATTGTGTTCATAACCACTCTATCAAAACAACTAAGGACTGCTTTGTGTTTATGTTTGAATGAAACCCAGATAGTGCACAAATATCTTAGCTTATTGACATGTTGAAAAATGACCGACTGGAGATTTTTGTCTACTTGTCTAACCGTGCCAGTAGTTGAAACTCAAGACAAGTCTAGTCGGCGACAAAAATCTCCCATCATGACTGTTCGTGTGCTCGCACCTTTAGTTGTTCGTTTAACAAAATTTTTAAACTTGGCCCAAAAATTTGATATATAATTTCATTGCTTTGTAAAGTCTCATTGGTGTATTCATAGTAAGTAAGGCCTTGAAGTTTTCTAAAGATTTCTAAACTGGTCTGCCATTCAATCTTGAGCTTCACCTCGAAGGAACGGGTTGAAGCAATTGTCATCGTGGCATTGGTTGGACGTTAAGGTTTCGAGATGGCAACGCAAAATAGACTATGTCTTGCCAAATCCTGCAGTCAATATTTTGCATAAGCGAATACAAGGCTGCCGTTTTCATGAATTCATCTTGTGATAGTCCCCTTTATAAGCTCAAGGTTTAAGATTTATAAGACATACATCTGTGTTTCTATGTATTTTACAGCCATTAGCACAGAAGGTTAAAATCTATTATGTGCAATATTTTGTGATGGTATGTACAACTGTATGTTCTGTGGTAAAAATGTGTATGGTGAATTATGGCTACTGCAAATTTATTTTCCCTCTTCTGTCTAAAACTGTTACCTATTTCTACCGTGTTTCACTTCAGTAGGTCAATCTTGTATTAAGGATCGAGTGATACATCGTTTCTTTAACATATCCAAAACTGTTACACATTTCTACCATGTTTCACTTTATTTTTGTATTAGGGATCGATGTAATATATTTTATGTCATGGGATTGCCAATCAACGTGTAGACATTTTAAGTTAGGTTTTGTAAATATGAACACAAATGACGTCATCAGAATATTACTTACAACCACTCTTGTATTGGTCATTTTCGATTGGATAAAGTGAACCAATCCATCAATTTCTTGATAAAGGATCATTTTAACAATGAAGCATCCAATCCAAGTAATGTTCAAGTAATTTAGAAATTTTACTAAATTTACTTCCATTCTTATTAGCTTTAATTTTGAGATTAGTATTCTTTAAGATATTAAATTTGGTACTTTATTATTATTAAAAAAAAAATATGCATGAAACAAAGAATTAGGTGACTATTACTATTTGACAAAATCAAAGTAAATTGGTTATTTTAAAACACATATTTGTATTTTGTATTACACTGGGTTAATATTTTTTTTTAATTGATTGTATTATGTTAATAGATAGCATTATGTGTGAATAATTTATTAGAATTATTTTTGTACAAGTGTCCATGGTCAATAAATAGTTGTGATAATGTTATTATTATCAGATAGCGGATCCCATCTGAAGAAAGGGCTAGGAATATCTCAGTTAATCATGTAATTGGAAACAGGGTTTTTTTTTGGGAGGGGGGAGAAAGATGCCTCTTATCTGTATACTAATGAGGTAGAAATATTATAGCCATAGCTTCAACACCTTTCCTGAAATGAAAAGTGTTTTTTGTTTTTTCTGGACTACCCAATATAGGGCTAGTTAATTCAGTTAAAGCTCTCTGTACCAAAAGCTACAAAGTTCAATGTCAGAGACAAACCATCCTAAAACCCAATTATGGATCTTATCTTCACAATATCCAACTATTACAAACTTCTTAACTTGACTTAATTGTAACAATAAGCAATAATATTTAGTATTTCTGTTGAAGACACAGTTTATAACAGCTTGACATTGTGAAGATGAGTTCTCAAAACTATGCAAGCTCTCTAATGCATAAATTTACCTTCAACTTGCTTTAACTTTCAGACTTTGCCCCAACATCTGTTGGTATTGGCACCCAAATTGGAAACTTAAATGCTTGGTGTTGCCCCATTCATATGGTTAAGAACTGCACAAAGGATTATCTATCCTAAAGTGGTATGCATAGCTGAAATTGAGGTTTATCAGCTTATACTTTGACAATTGCAAATTGTTAAAGGTTTCATACCAGCAAAGATAGAGATATTATTTTGCTTTTATCACAGAACAAGCAAAATGAATAAAACAAAATAATTTTCTAGTTTTATTTTTTAGATGATTCGATTTTATAATTAACATGTGGTCAAACAAAAAATAATTCTTAAAAATATTCATACTAAATTTTACTCCATAAATTTTGATTCATTAAATTGAATACAACACAAAACTGATTATATATCTAACAAGAAAGTTTGTGAATATTCTAGCACTGAGTAAAGCTATATGTTAAAGGGATTGTAAAGAAGTTATGTGAATCTGGGACACTGATAAATTGATGTGCACCATTCCAATTTTCAATCAGATGTCTGTAGTTCATCAAATTCCATAAACACATTTTATGACATCACTAATCGTGAAGTCGTGAATGTGATAAAGCTTATTTTGCGATTAGTGACTTCATCAAATACTTAGTTTTAGTGGAATTGCGAGAACAGTCGTCTGATTGAAAATTGCAATAGTACAAATTGATACTGTCACTGTCACTGTTACACAAAAGAAGTTCAGAAAACCTCTTTACAATCTCTTAAAGACTCTTACTAGCCTCAAATATCTTTGACGGTTATAAGAATTTCCTGCATCTGCAAAGACGAGAGAATCTTCCCAAAATAGACAATAAGTTCAAACATTGTGGCTTTATATAACCAGAAAATAACCGTCAAAAATATCTATCAAAGGATGATCACCAGCTGTGTATGGTTGCAAATCAGAATAGCGTTTTTAAGTTTTGAATGAAATTCTCATGCAATTGAGTTGCCAGTTGTGTTCAGAAATCGTGGCCACTTCCATTATTCACACCATACGAAACTGGTAATCACTGTGATGTGAGGGCACCTTAAGGGTCTCCATATTCTGGACAATATATTAGATCCCTTAAGCTATGACACTAACTCAAGCAGATCCTACTTTCAATAAGAGATAGACTACCACAAAATACAGTATTTTATGCAAGAGGTTTTTTTTTCTTTCTAAATCAGTGCAATTCATATTATATACCCAACAATTGTCCAATCTCTGCCAAATCAGGTTATATTTAACTAACTTGTGTAGCATACCCATTCTGTGAAAAATAACATAAATTAGTTATAAATAACCCATCTTCATAATATGATTTACATGCAATGAAATTTGGAAAAGGATCCGTCAATTTGTACCAATCATCTCCTTAATTTTCTGACTATGTTTAACCAATGAATACTCTATAATATCTTACAAACTTTCACACACACATACTAGGATAAATGCTTTAATATGAAAATCTAAGATGTACTGAACAAACCTGAAATCTCAAATAAATGCCCAAAAGCTCCATTCTGATATTTCATTAGATTCTCAGACGTAATTTTTTGCGGTAGAATCAGCCTCATTAATATCAGACCAAACTTTCATTCAATTTTTTCATGAGCTTTAATACTTAATATAGCCACTTCAGTTGGGGTTTAACAACAGCCCTCTTGAACATTCGTTAAATTAACCTTTTGACCTAACCTGATAAAAACTACGTCACAATATACCAGCCTTGAAATTTGATTAGTTAAAGCAGACATCATTGAGGTAGGTCAAAAGGTTATTTGAAGAACATTCAAGGGGGTTGTCGTTAGACCCTAACTTAAGTGGCTATATTCAAAATAAGACCTAATAAAAAAAAAAAAACGAAAGTTTGGTCTAATTTTAACCACTCTTGTGGAATCGACAAAAGATTTCAAATTTGTTCATACAACATTATTAACTATCTACATTCAAAATGACAAATGAAACTAACTTACACCCAGATGTAGTTCTAGTATCGTTTTTTTTTTAGTTTTTTTAGGTAATTTTTGGATTGAATAACATACAAGTTAAACTTATTGTTACTCAAATTATTTTATGGGTCTTAAGAGCGTTAATGGACACTCTTAATTTCAAAAGACATTTGCCTGGTCAAAATAGACTCATTACATACAGTAGTTAGATAATTTGGCCTATATTTATGGTTCTTAATACAAAATTTCGAGCTCATTAATTATTTTTTTCATTTCTTTTGTTCTAAACAATAACATAACGGATTGTCCATAAACAAAATTTTATTTTTGTTTGAAATTATCAGTTAGATATCAAAATTCTATAGCTTTCTCTACAATCTATAAATTTTCATTATTAGTGAATTTGAATAGCAAGCCCTGAATTGAATTTAGAACTATAACACTGTAGATGGTCCAAGATATTATAACTTGATACAATGATAATGAATTAACACAAAACACTGGTGTTTATAAATGATAAGTTAGTTTTTCTCTTCTTTCTTCTCTTCAGACTTTGTCTCATCTTCTGCTTTAGGTTCTTCAGTTGTTGAACTTTGATTGGCTGACTGTTGTTCTCGTTCAGCTGCCATCTGTAGAGAAAAAAAAAGAGACCAATGAGAATTTTCAACAAATTAATTAAGTCGAGTTCTACATCAAATAAATACTTTATTGGATTAAAAAGGATCCTTGATCAATTGCATTACCCCCTTTCCCCTATAAATCCTTACTATTTGTGATTTTCGCTTAGATTTACCCTGCATTCTTTTTATGTCCGAGAATACAGTTTGACTGAATAAAACGACTTAAATTATCATTATAGTTTTCAAAAATTTTATGCTACTACAAAGTACTGCATTACCCCCAAGCTCTTGCTAGAGAGTCATGAGACAAAAAAAAAAAAAAAACCTGAAGAAACAAGGCAACTGTATTTTTCAAGATGCCATAAAGATAAAACAAACATGGAAGTTTTATATCAGTACCAGTACTGTGAGAAACGGTCCATTACCTTCTTGTAGGCAGTTTCAAAGAGTTTTAATGAATCTTTCTGTAAGTCATTGGTCACTTCCTTTATTCTTTCTGGTGTTTCACTGTCTTTATTAGCTAGTACTTCTCTTAACTGAGTTATTTTAGTTCTAATACTATCACACTGTAAATATATAAACAATCCACAATGTAACATAAATTGCATTTTCCATTGATGTTTTTAAGAAATAAATTGCTTAAAATGTGTGTTCAAGGGAAACCATGGTCTATTATCAGCCATTTGTTGTTGTACCATACTTGGATAACTAAACATGAAAGCCAAATAGAATATAAGAGGAAAGTAGGCGGAGCTTAGGTGTGCTACAACCATCTCATTTTGATGTTATTGCATGGCTGAAGCTCCAGCTTCAAGAAAAATCATGACTTGCACAATGTCCCAATAAGATCAAGCTGTCAATAACTATGTGTCTTACTCATGAACATAATTAATCAAACTCGTCCTAACAGATTTATTTGTCTAAATATAACTCGTAAGAACTGTTGTATATATACTATTTAGAGTTCTATGTCAGTAAAATGTTGTTTGGTAAGACACTTGATTCAAATTAATACATGTATCTCAAGGCAGCATCAGTTTTTACCATCCTTTTTTTGTGCAATATTGAGCAGTAATGGCTGGTGTAGTACAGGGCTGGGTATGCTTACTCTTCTAGACACCTGACACCATTTTTCATTCATGATGACACTCTTATAGTTCACAAAGTAAATTCATTGGCTTGGAAGTCAACTTTGACTAAAAGCATTTTTGATGCCATCTGTTTTACTGCAACTTGGATTGAATTGTCCAAAAGACCAAATACATATGAAAAAGCAACATTACTCTACCTCTTCTGATGGAAGTTGATCTTTATATTCTGTTATTTTAGTTTCAGTATCATGTATGATAGAATCAGCTTGATTAACAGCTTCAATGATATCCTGTCAAATAATACAAATTATTACATACATGTGTAATCTCTGGGTCAGAACTGTTACCTCCATTATCTAGAGAGATGATTTTATTGCAGGGCTAGCTTCAAATCATGCAAATGACAATGAATAACCATTAAAGAGATTGTTAAGAGGTTTTCTAAATCTTTATATGTGTATCGGGGAGACTGGTAGCATTAATTTGCACCATTCTATATTTCAATCAGATGTCTGCGATTCCTGCAATTTACACCATACCTTCTTTTTCCTATCTTCTTCTGCATGAGCTTCAGCATTCTTCACCATATTTTCTATTTCATCTTTAGATAATCCACCAGATGATTGAATAACAACTAGAAAAGACAAGTTAACAGACATTTTGATACCATCTTTCATACTAACAGAACTTTTATTTGAAATAAAATACTGCTGCATATGAGCTTATATGCTCAGCAAAACCATGCAAATGAAATGAATGGAGTTTTATGTCCTACTTTTCTGCACCATAAGATCTAATGAAGACAGGCAACGTGATGCAGGGTGCAATGAGGGAAATTTTGCCAGGACAGTGGCATTAGCATGCTATTCTTCGATTTCCAACTTTACTGTCGAGGGATCTTTAATGTGCACAACCTGTAGCACATACAGAGTGCACGACTGGAAATTCTTACAGATAGCTGCATTGGCCCACTTTCCTTTTTTAACTGTCACCATCAAGGAATCTCAAACACACAAGTTAAGTATATCAACTAACGGAAAAAAATTTGATTTGAAAATTCCCATGTTAATTGCCTAGCAAATTAGTTTTGCACAATTGTCTGAGTAGCATCAATTTGCACCATTACAATTTTCAATCAGACTTCTGTGGTTCCTACAATTTCACTAAAACTAAGATTTTGATAACTTCTCTCATAGCACAATATGTTTTAACGATTAGACTTAAAAGACTTCACTTACTCTGTTGTTCTTTGCCTGTACCCTTGTCTCTAGCTGATACATTAACAATACCATTAGCATCAATATCAAATGTTACTTCAATCTGAGGTACACCTCGTGGTGATGGAGGGATACCAACCTAAAACATCATGCAATTCAAATATTATGAAATGCAAAGCTTAAAGCTTTGAAAGCAAATTCTTTTAGTTATTTTAACTGTACATCACTTATCATTTTTAGATATCAGATTTTAAAAAAAGTAAAAAAATTCAACTGTTTTTTTAATTCTTACTTGATCAAAATTGTCCCGAGATCTTATCAATGTATACATACAAACCAAGTTTCAAGAGATCGGATAAAAAAAATGCAGTCTTTATTGCGCCCACAAGAAAGGTGAACAGACTGACCAATCAATGAACAGGGGTGACGCCAATATATGGCCCCCCGATTTCCTGTGGGTGTATAAAAATGAAAAGTTATTTTCTTGTGTTCTACACCAACCATGTAAGTTCATATAATCATGAAGTTCACCACCATTTCTTGTGAGCAGGATATTACATTATATAGTAAGAGAATAGAGAAATTAAGAAGTACAACATACCAATGAAAATTGACCAAGTAGTTTATTATCACCTGCCATTTCTCTTTCACCTTGACCTACTTTAATCTCTACCTGGGTTTGTCCATCAGCTGCTGTTGAAAACACCTGCAAATAGAAACATCAACTCTCAGATCTCAATTACTAGATATCTTTCAGACTATCAGGAGTTCAATTCTAGAAAAGTCTGTTCGATTTCCAACTTTTGAGAGATCTTTAACGTGCACACAATCTGTAGACAGGACCTCGGCTTATTGTCCCATCCTACCTACTATATGCCTTTTCCATTGTCAGTCCCTCCGATCTGCATTAATGACAGGCAGAAACCTGGTTGAAAAATCCAAAGCTGTTATCTTTAGTTTTAAAGGAATTCAATTAAAAGTGAACTTACTTGACTCTTCTTAGTTGGGATTGTAGTATTACGATTAATGAGTTTGGTAAAGACACCACCTAATGTTTCAATACCTAATGATAATGGTGTAACATCTAATAATAACACATCAGTTACATCACCAGCTAAAACACCACCCTACAATTTATATTAACATCTTTCAATTATCAAACTTTCAAACCATGGATTTGTCAATCAGACACACCTTTCAGAGAGTCCACATACATGTTGATATGGCTTATTTATTACACAACAATTAAAGGATTCCTCTGCTGGTGGACAAGATTGCCTTTGACAAAAACCAATCATAATTGAACTTTCAACTTGCGGTATTCCATTGTTACTTAGCTAATTTTTATTGCTAAGGAAGTTAGAATAGTGAATTAGTGAGAAATAGTGTTACCTGAATAGCAGCACCAATAGCCACAGCTTCATCAGGATTAACTGATTTACTAGGCTGTCTTCCAAATAATTCTTGTACTGTAGATTGCACCTAAAATAGAACATATTAAAATTATACATGTTAGCTTAAGGAAAATCAGGCACAAAAGCATATGCCAAGGACATCATTAGAAAAATATAGCTTTTAATATACAACAAGAATATCAATTGTGAAACCAATACTTTCATTGTAATTAACCATTAAATAGGGCAATAACTCTAACATGTTTCATAGAATTATCATAAACTTCAATCAATAAGGAATATCCTATTAATATACATGCTTATAAATCTAGCTTAGCAATGGCAAAGATTTCTGACACATCTTTACAATTGCAAAGCAATGACTCGGAAAGGGATTCAAAGTAATATGATGTCCTAACATCCACAAGACAGGACGACAACCATGTCCACAATTGGAGAATTAGTTACCTACCTTGGGCATTCTTGTCATACCACCAACAAGAATTACTTCACCAATATCAGATTTCTTAACTTCAGCATCCTGTAAAGCTTTCTGACATGGACCAACTGTTCTCTTGATTAAGCCATCAACTAATGACTCCAATTTCGATCTGGACATCTTTAAATTCATGTGTTTTGGTCCACTGGCGTCCATTGTTAAATAGGGCAAGTTGATGTCCGTCTGAAATGATTAAATTGAAAATAATTTATTATTGGAGAAAAATGAGCTGAAGAAGTAGTGCAGTGCGCAATGAGAGAAATTGCCTGCAGAATAAGAGTATAAACCCAGGTTGAAAAATCCAAGGCAAGGCAAAACTAAACCAGCTAAGCTACACTGGCCAGCAAGATGAAAACGAGTTAGAACTACCTCTAAATAAAATCTGATCAAATGAAATGAAATGAAGTGTGGTTTATGTCCTACTTTTCTGCATCATGTGGGCTAATGAAGACGGGCAACGTACGCCATGCAGGGAGCAATGAGTGAAATTTTGCCTGCATTTTTTTTTATTTCCAACTGTCGAGGGTTTAACATGTACCGTCTGTAGCACGCGGGGCTCCAGTTAATTTTCATATCTGAACGACTAGACGCTTTTCCATGTCCGCCCCTCTTACAAAATCAAATCAAGAAAAGGTAAGGTCGACAAGTGAGGAATGAATTCAAGCAAAAAGTTTCAATGGAACCAATTGTTAAATCAAAAGTATTCTTATTGCAATAAACAAATTCAAAGTTTTCTGTAATTTTGTCTGATTCAAAAACTATGAGTAATAGAGTAGAAACTAGTCCTCAACTCTCAGAATCAGTAATTAATAGTAATAATAATAGTAAATACCAACTAAAACAGTTGATAAATACTAAATAAATTAACTATTATATTTACTATACCACAATCGTAACACTATCACCTTCATATAGAAAATATAGCTGACTGGATTATGGATTTTCGAAATCTTAATATAACTCTAATTACTAGCAATAAGCTACATGTACCTGGCCAGATTTGCTCAAATTCAATCAGATTTTCGAAATTTAAATGCTGATTAAGAATAAGATAAATAAATCTAAAGAGAAATCAACTCTACTGAGAAGTAAAGAATTACCTGGAGTGAGGAGGACAATTCTATTTTAGCCTTTTCAGCTGCTTCACGTAATCTCTGCATGGCCATAGGATCTTTAGAAACATCTATTCCTTGCTGTAAACAAATTTAAAAAATGTCTCAAATTTTCTTTTTTTTTTTCAGCTTTAAAGATGCCATCCCTTTTTTTCATTTATTTATAATATTCCATTATTAGACAATTACTTATATCAGTCGCATATAGGTGTTCTAATGACTTGGGGAAAATACTAGTTGTCTCACAAGTCGATACTTTGCTAATTACTAAGTTAATCCAAGGATGGGTTTGTTACTTGATATAGATTATCCAGTCTCACACCATAATGGAGGTAACTATCTGTATTTTTTCAAAGCCATCAGATTATTCAAGTGTTAAAGTCTGCCATATGCTGCTGAGAGGTGTTTTGGCTATAAAGACTTTACCAGGAAAAAACTTCCCAAAGTAAGAGATTTATGGCATAGTTGACTATACATCTAATTCTAGTCACTTCTAAGAATCAAAACACAAAAAAATTACAACGCACATCTCTTTTGAATTCAGCAGATAAAAAGTTGACCAATAAATTATCAAAATCTTCACCACCAAGGAATGTATCTCCATTGGTCGACTTGACTTCAAATACACCTTTCTGGATCTCTAATATAGAGATATCAAATGTACCACCTCCCAAATCATACACTGCTATTCTATAAAACAAAGAAAATAGAACGTTGTGGAACTTATGTTCAATGTTTTCCTGTCATGGAAGGTTGAGGGCAGCACTCATGGAAGGTTGAGGGCAACACTCATGAACGACTTTGGAAGGAAAATTTGAGGTGACAGTGTCATAGAAGGTTTAGGGTTAAAAAGAAATGAAAGGTTTGAGGTGACAATACCATGCAAGGTTTGGGAGTTACAATGTCATTAAGGTGTCTGGGTTACTAGATTACAATGTCACGAAGGAATCTGTGTTACAATGTCACTAAAATATGGGTTACAATGTCATTAAGGTGTCTGGGTTACTAGATTACAAAGTCACGAAGGAATCTGTGTTACAATGTCACTAAAATATGGGTTACAATGTCATTAAGGTAACTGGGTTACTAGATTACAATGTCATGAAGGAATCTGTGTTACAATGTCACTAAAATATGGGTTACAATGTCATTAAGGAGTCTGGGTTACTAGATTACAATGTCATGAAGGAATCTGTGTTACAATGTCACTAAAATATGGGTTACAATGTCATTAAGGAAACTGGGTTACTAGACTACAATGTCATGAAGGAATCTGTGTTACAATGTCACTAAAATATGGGTTACAATGTCATTAAGGTGTCTGGGTTACTAGATTACAATGTCATGAAGGAATCTGTGTTACAATGTCACTAAAATATGGGTACAATGTCATTAAGGTGTCTGGGTTACTAGATTACAATGTCATTAAGGAAACTGGGTTACTAGACTACAATGTCATGAAGGAATCTGTGTCACAATGACACTATAATATGGGTTACAATGTCATTAAAGAATCTGGGTAACAATGTTGTTAAGTTTGAGATGACAATGTTTTGGATTTCAATGTCATGGCAGGATCGGGGCCACAATTTTGTGGCAGATTTAAGATAACATTATTATGGAAGAATCAAGAATACAATGTCAGGTATATTGGGATAGGCTTGGGTTACAAATTTACAATGTCCTAAGACATCAAAGCAACTCCATGAAAATAAGTTTTGATTCATTTAAATTCTGTCTGATTCAAAAACTAAGAGAAATAGAGTAGAAACTAGTCCTCAACTCTCAGAATCAGTAATTAATAGTAATAATAATAGTAAATACCAACTAAAACAGTTGATAAATACTAAATAAATTAACTATTATATTTACTATACCACAATCGTAACACTATCACCTTCATATAGAAAATATAGCTGACTGGATTATGGACATTATTTCATTCATTCATTCATTTAAATGACAAAGGATACAAAGTTGAAAAATGAGTTATATTCTTTACTAATGAAAACTTCAACACCCTTTGGTGTACGATGGCCTTAGCCTACTTTTTATCTTATTTTGAACTGTGGCAATCAAAGTCTGATTCATTAGATGTCTCTCAGACAGAAAACTTGAAAAAAGTCATATCTTGACTGTATACCATAATAAAACCTCTATTCCCTAGGTCAGAGGGTTTCAACCTTTTTCTCTCCATTACCCCTTTCAGGATCCTTAATCCATTGCATTACCCTTTAAATCCTTACTATTTTGAGTTTTCCCTGCAACATTTTTCATTTCAGATAATAGCCTGACTGAATAAAATAATAAATTGTAAATTTTATGCTAGACTCTAAGGCACTTCATTACCCTCCAAAATGTCAAATTTACCCCTATTATTACCCCAAGGTTGAAAAACCCTGCCCTAGGTGGTATCTCACGTCTTACTTGTCCGACTCTCTCACCATGGATTGTAAGTCAAATATAATGAGAAATGGTTTACATATTGACAACCACAGCACTTTTCAATAATAAAATATATACTTACAATTTATCTTCTGTTTTATCCATACCATAAGCTAAAGCAGCTGCAGTGGGTTCATTAATTACTCTTAAAACATTTAATCCAGATATCTGACCAGCATCTTTAGTGGCCTACACAGAGAAAAACAGATTTTCATGGGATTACAATTACCAGTACAAATGAATCACCAGTACAAATGTATTACCAGTACAAATGTATTACCAGTACAAATGAATCACCAGTACAAAATGAATCACCAGTTCAAATGAATTACCAGGACAAATGAATTACCAGGACAAATGAATTACCAGGACAAATGAATTACCAGGACAAATGAATTACCAGGACAAATGAATTACCAGGACAAATGAATTACCAGTACAAATAAATCACCAGTACAAATGAATCACCAGTACAAAATGAATCATCAGTACAAATACAAATGTATTACCAGTACAAATACAAATGTATTACCAGTACAAATACAAATGTATTACCAGTACAAATGTATTACCTGTACCAATGAATAACCAGTACAGATGTATACCAGTACAAATGAATTGCATCACAAACTGATCAAAACGTGCATCGAACTAGGTCAAAAGGTTAATTTGATGCATGTTCAAGAGGGCTATCCTTAGACCCTAACGGAAATGGCAAAATAAAACAAATAAAGCAAGTGAAAAGAAATCTTAGTTTACCTGTCTTTGTGAATCGTTAAAATAAGCTGGTACTGTAACAACTGCATTTTTAACATTACTTCCTAGATAACTTTCTGTAATACAAAAAATATTTAAATATTACGTCTGGTTATAAAGCTATTATTTCAGATTTTTACTTGTTAGGTATTAAGGGATAAAAGCTGAAATCAGACTGACTCTTGGAAGCACAGTCACAAGCATCAGAATCTTTCTTACCTTGAGGATTCTAACCTAATCGCCTAATAGCAGGCGACAATCCAACTCACTACCGACTGCCACAAAATGACAGTGTTCCAACCCAGTGTGTGTTAAGTATCAAGAAACACAACTGATAAATGTAAAAAATGGCCTTAAGTTGATTTCTGTTACCTAATATATGGCTTTCAAAAGAGGCCCAAGTAGGTTTATTTTACCTGCAGTTTCTTTCATCTTCATAAGAACAAAAGCACCAATTTGTGACGGAGAATATACTTTACCATTAGCTTCTAACCATGCATCACCATTTGATGCTTTTACAATTTTATAAGGTACAGTTTTCCTAAAAGAAATACACATCAAAATGTCACAATCAACATAATATGTATATATCATTAAAAATCATAAATGCATTTGCCGTATATTCATTCTATTCGTCAACCATAACCAATAATCTTCTACTAAAAGAATTCAGTCTCATTCAATTAAAATCAGACCAAAATTTGGTTCTAATTTTTATTACTTTTTTCTTTTAATATATCCAATTCAGTTAGGGTCTTGAACAACTAACCCTTTGACCAAAAAATGCTGGATAGGGTAGAAATTTGATTGGTTAAAGAAGATATCATCGAGTAAGGTCAAAAGGTTAATTTGACAAATGTTCTAGAGGGTTGTTGTTAGACCCTAAAAGTGGCTAGATTAAAAATAAACGTTAATAAAAAAACAGAACGAAAATTTGGCATAATTTCAGGGAGAAAATTAAATAAATAGTACTTACATGTCTTTCTGAACTTCAGGATCAGTGAATTTACGACCAATTAAACGTTTGGTAGCCGAAAAGGTATTGGCAGCATTGGTTACCGCTTGTCTTTTAGCAGGCATACCAGCCAATCTTTCTCCATCCTTAGTAAAAGCTATGACCGATGGGGTTGTTCTTGAACCTGTTAATTATAATGATATGATTTTTAAATATTTGAATAGGGTCATACAAAGCTTAGCTGGAAAGTTAAGCTCTTCCGAAAACTTGATTATATCTAATATTGATCTATGCCCATTTTTCAATAAGAATTACCAGTATTTAGTAGATAATTATCCCCTTTAACCTTTTTAATGAATAAAAATATCATATAGTTATTTTACAATTCAATAAAAAATACGATTTTGAGATTCAGCACTTCAGGGGATTTTTGACATTCTTGCAAAAAGTGCTGTAGTACACATCGCAAAATTTGTTTTATCACATAAGGCCCTTTGTGATTATAGTGACTTCATAAAACTCTTAGTTGTAGTGGAATTGCAGACATTTGACTGAAAATATCAGTGTCTCTGATAAACATAAAGAATTTAGAAAACCTCTACACAATTCCTTTAATAATAGTTGATAACTGCACTTGAAAATATAATCCCCTAGCAGTGACGAAAGTTTAAATGAATGCTGTTGAATTGTATAACCAGGCTACTGGACTTGAGCCACTTACCTTCTGAATTTTCTAAAACTTTTGCAGTTTTTCCTTCCATGAGTGCCACACACGAGTTTGTTGTACCCAAATCAATTCCAATAACATGACCTTTGACTTTATCAGACCTAATAAGAAAGAACATAATTACAATGTAGTGTACCTTTGAATTCAAGAAAGTCTGTCTGTTGGTCTAATCCCAACAAAATTAAGTTTGGATTTCACTCTAAAGTTAGTGCCATGAGCTATTAACACTACTTACAGTTTGTTAAAAATTTTAACAAATTCTGCTTCCAATAGGATATTAAAAATATTAGTTGGCTATAATATGATACATTAACTGGTAAAGATTGCATCATCATACCTTTAAGCTACTTGTATAATAGTAAAAGTAATTTTTAATAGCGATTTTGACCTTTGGAGCCCCTTTGATTAGGTGCCAAGTTGACTATAACCCATTAGTATTTTCAGTACTTACTTAAATCTTCTGTGTACCCAACCATATTCACCAAGTAAATTTTTATATAGAGGATTCTGCAAAATACAGAATCAAGAGTCAGAACTTTTACATAGACTCAGGGTAGCCTTACTAGTTATGCAAATGGATATCGATATATTCACACATAAGCTCACCTTAGGCGGCTGATGTTTTATGAGATAAGTCTAGGCCTATATTAGCCTAATAAGACCAAAAGAATTGTGATTCTTACAGGATTATTGTCAGTGATTTCATCATGACGGGCTGATACTAGAAACAATACATTAATGAGTCAAGATTCAGGCCAGAATTTAAGCAATTTTGTCTTTGGTACCGGTAGATCTACCAGTGACCAGTAGCCTAGTGTAAATTTCTTTCATTTTCAAATACAAAGTCGAACAAACCAACAAGGAATCTCTAAAACTTGGAGGCACTGGTATTTCACAACTACCAACCAAGGTTTACAAGACATTCTCTAATTTTACCAATAGTCTTTTTTGTTTTTTTTGTGATGAAACTATTGTTTTAGCAGAGGTTATAAAAGCAGTGTGACTGTATGTATGTGAGCTGAGTGGAGAAATGGTTACATAAAACTGATTCAATGTCAACCGATTTACTGTTTTTCTTGCGATTTACTTACCTTTAAAAGTTCTGACATTTGATTTCCATGAACAAACACGACACTCTTTTTCAGGCATTGGCCTGACACTCTTTTAGCGGCGAACATTTTCTTTATTTTGCGTTATATCTTACAGAAAATAATGCCCTTTGCCTGCACGTGTGTGATGTAAACCTTGTACGGTCCTGCGCTTGCGTCAGCTTGACCCTATTTCAGCATTTCCGGTTGAACGACGGGAATATTCTTCAAGGGAGTTAACACAATTACTGCGTTCAATCAGACTACAGTTATTTAAAATAATATTATAAGAAATAGCTTTTTAATTTTAGACCTAATCAAATTTTATTGAATTAATTCAAACATGATAGGCCTTGCTTTAAGCCTATAATATAAGTTTGAAATATCATTTTTTTACAAATATGTATACTTGTATACAACCAAGTAGATGGTAGGGGCCCCTGCTCCCACTTCATTCTGATTTAAAGCCTTTTAATGGAAGATTTCCGGGGTGGGGAGACCCCTTAAGAATGGGGTCCGTGAAGAGAAACAATCCGTCCCTTATCTTACAGGCCAGTAGTTAGTGGAGGAGCCCCCCTCTTCTTTCGCCAAGAAAATTTTGCACCCCCCTCCCCCCTTAAAAATTTAGATGACTGGAAAGACTTGTTGAATCTCCATATAGTTGGAGAACCCATTAGAAAAAAAGTCCCCCCCCCCCCTCTCCCCAACCTCGAGACCCTGGGCTAGCTACGTGCCTGTTATATTGATGATGTAAGTTTAAACAATGCGCAAAATTTTCATTAGGCCTACTAAGAACGATGTAAATCATTGGCTTACATGCTACTAGGGTCAAGGTCTATCCATGTATTTTTTAAATTTGTTTATCATATCAAATTTTGCGACTATCACCCTTTAAAACACGTGCATGTTTTTAGAGTAAGATCGTCATTTGTTATCGATCTAATAAAATGTGGAAAATGTTTTGCGCTGTGTAGGATTTTGTACTGATCTAATTGTCTTTTTGCAACTGCCTATTTACTTGTTCAGTTGTTGTTATACCGGGATAGGCCTAATCAGTTACTGACAATTTGTTAACGGAACCTGAAATGCTAATTTTGTGACTGCCCTTGTTAAAAGTAAGTTTTTTTTATCTAGATATCTTTTATTTTTTCTCCAGTTTGATCAATCATGTTATATGAATTGAAATATCAACTCCAAAAATAAACCTCTGTGATTTTGGAGAGGATATTTTTCAGTCCGAAATGTATTTTTATTGTGTGAGCAAAGTAAAACGTTTTTTTAATTTTTCCGATTATTTTTATGAATATCAGCCTCAAAATCGTACTGATAGTGTTCGGGTGTATTGAGACGAGTCTCAATGAAAGCATTGGCCTAGGTCACAGAGCAATAGAGCTTATTATTTATGGCATATAATATACTGAATATAGCACCAGTCGTGAAATAAGTATTCCCTGAAATCTAACTTAGAAATCGATTAATGTAATGATATAACATGATACATTTATATATGAAGAAATATCTGCTCTTAGGATGAATGGGCATATAAGTCTTAGAATGTCTTTGCGTTGATAAAAATATAAGCATGAGCACACATTATTTCTTCAAAATTTGTTTCAACAGAGGACAATTTTCAGCCAAACTTTGTGACTTTTTGGGGTTTAAATTTCTAAGAGGGAAATGTGTTTATTTTTAATGTAAGACTATATTTTTATCAACGCATAGACATTCTAAGACTATAAATATTATTTTTGGCTGATATTCCAATTCTTTTGACAAATATCGAAAACTTCACAAAGTTTTCAACTTGCATAGACAATAGCATGAAATTAATCCGAGAAAACCCAACCTTCTGATCTGATAGTTGACAATATTTAGAAAAGGTTATGTCGCTCAACTTTCAACATGTCCGATGTCAGTGGCTGTAATATTTTGATCATGTGACATATGAAATGTCTTATTTTTAATCGAAAATTAAGCCCTCAAAATGCTCAAAATTCATCTCTGACCATCATTCTGAAATCCGTTAGATTTGGTGGCCTTCGACAGCTTCCAAACCCCAGGTGAGAACGTGCGTGAACGGACCCCGCCTCGGAGTGACAACAGATACAACATCGGTTTTTCAGTTGACTTCACAAAATAGAAGAAGGTGACGCGGATTACTAAATTTAATTTCAGACCATATAAAACTTAAATTACCCCCCTTTGACCACATGCAAACTAGCTCATGGCTTCCCTGTACGTTGGTGAGAGATAAATGAATTTCAAAGACATTTGAAACAATTTAATATTATAATAGTAGCCTAAATATAAGTTCACTTTAACATTTTTTCAGTAATATTCGTTGGATACATTTATGTAACATCACGACAACGGCTTTCAAAGCCCCAAAAGAGTGCTTCACGAAAATTGTCAACTAAATTTTCAATTCTGTGTTATTAGTCCTAAAAAAGCAATATATGTATGGCGGGGGAAAGCGGCAAAAACCTAATGCTATGCAGAAATGTCTAATCCAAAACACAAATGTAATATAATGCAATAACAAATACCTAAAACGTCTTGTCTTATGCACAAGACAACTAGGCTATATACAACTACCCATATTAGCCTACCCTTGATGTAAATAAATGCAACTAAATTGGCAAAATTGTTGTAAAAATCAGGAAAATCCTGTGAAACCAGGAATGTCGGAAAAATGTTGATAGTTTCAACAGACTACAGACTACATCAAAGTTAAATTGTCGCCATAATTCGGCCAATTTTGATCCGAGAGGTATAATTTTTGTTTGTGATGAAAGCTTATCAATTCCTCTGTCCATTTCTTTTTTTTCTATAAACGAGAAGTATCAATAGCTGAATGTGGTCAAGGGGAGACAATTTAACATTGACCATTTAAATTTAATTATTATTCCGTCTCATGGTTTTGCACATTCTACAATCAGGGCTGAATGTGGTCAAAGGGGGGTAATTTCATATTATTTTGGTCTGTAGTCTCCATATTATATAGTATGTTGTTCACATTTCATTTCGGAAATACGAATGCATAAATACTGGACATATTTATTTATTTTTGGAAACATCGAAAAGCGTAATTTTGATAAATATAAATTTCGTTTTTCGATATAATTTTGAATTTTAGTATGGGTGGTTGTATTGATTATGTATACCTTGAGTCAATTGTGTCTATTTTTTAAGGTAAAATGATCAAACCATGTATTCCTGTTTATATATTTTAGGACTATAAACACAAAACAAGTTTTCAATTTCTAGGAAATTATTGAAAAGATAAATTTATTTAATGCATCTCTTTAATACTGTAAAACTCTTTTTGAGGTCATTTCGCTTTGATGTGGTCCATAGTTGAATTGAGTAATCCGTGTCACCGTCTTCTATTTTACGAAAAATTTTGCAGCAAAATCAATGTTGTACATTTATCATCAACAAACATAAATCTTACAATAAATATTCTGTGTATATGTTAGTAACATACCAGGCGGTTAATTCTGTTAGTCATTCTGTGGTTGTCCCTTATATATGTGTGTGTTTTAGTAACACCATGGTGGTAGATTACATATTGATTTTATTTACATTACATTATTATGCTTGAAGAGGATGCTTGGCAATTTTGATGTACAGGTTCATTTAACAATAGGCCTAATGGATATATGTATTCATTTTTTAATTTTTCTTGACACGTTGAAATTTGACTTTGACAAGGGACATAACTCAAAAGAGTCTTCACCTTGTCAAATCATAAGGTTGGGATTTCTCGGATTAATTTAATATGAAACGGACATTTCGGACTGTATATTCCCATCTGTAAATTTCCAGATATCTATTTATTGGAGTTGATATTTCAATTCAAATAAACATGAAAACTGGAGAAACTAGAGATAAAAAACTTCCTTTCAACAGGGCAGTCACTAAGTTGGCATTTCAGGTTTCGTAACAAGAATATCATTTTCTGGTTAACTCGGTTTCAATTACAAATAAATCAACAAATAAAAAGGCAATTGTAGAAATTCTCTTAGAAAGAATAATAGACCTCTACAAAGTCCTCCACAGAACAAAACAATTTCGACATTTTGTCAGATCGATAACAAATCACGATCTCACTATAAAAACATGCACGTGCTTTCAAGGCAGATAGTCTCGATAAGATAAATTTTAAAAAATACATTGTATTACTCCAAAACCATTTTAATTAAAACAAAAAGCAATAAAAATACTTTGTGTATTCGGATAAAGGCAATCTTTTTCTGCACTCAAATCTATCAGGCAATCGGGTTCGACGCAGCATCAAATAATAAGTTAAAGGGGGGTTTCAGAATTCAAAATTATTTCCGGTTCGTATGAAAAGGTAATTTAACAAATTAAACAAAGTAAGAAAGGTATAGTAAAGATACTGATGACAAACTCACCGTGTATAACGTTGGAAAAACAAACAAGTGAATACGAGTTGGGTGTGACTTATGATGTATTCTTTGTTTTCCAAGTAAGGATACATCAAGGATTTTCAATTGGTCGTTTTGGTTCATGCATAATCCTTCATATGCTATGCTTCATTATGTTTCATCTTGTATCAGATATTAACGATGTTATAAACTTATATATTTATTACAGTTTATCACGATGCCTGAGAACTACAAATTGTTTTGGAATCCTGATTTATTAGACATATTGGAAATAAAAACCAATTTTGTCCTTATGAAGGATTTTAATTTCACGCTTCAAAGAATTAAGAGGTTCTTTCAATCGAAAGAGGATAATTAGATTAATAAGAAATGACACATAACAATATTTTCCAACTAATGCTGAAAATATAATCTGGCATTAAATTCTTAGAAAATGCCTACCTCTGTCTTCTAAAAAATGGGATTTGACATCGATGGACAAATATATCTTTGTTTGTGAACTTTGGCTGCAAGTAAACATTATTGCAGAAGTTACATGATGGATATTGACCTGACAACAGCTACGACTCAAAAAATTACAGTTGTCACCAGTTCAGGATACTCTACTATACAGCAAAAATTAGATTGCAGAATCAGAATCTGCATGCGTTGAACTCAGTCGATAGTAGAAGCTCATACGATCGCGATAGGACCGATGAAATGCTTTAGGGTAAAATGCGTATGGTATGGATCGTTTGTGAACTGTTTCT